GGAATATTCACTCATTTGCAGGATACATTCATGCAGATTTTCATAGTGGCAATATTTTGCAAGACCAGACCACGAATGAAATTGTAGAATCTTATATTGCAGATCTTGGATTGTCTAGAAAAGTAAATGAAAGTGTTTCTGAGAGCGATATTTTTGGAGTTATGCCTTATGTTGCACCAGAAGTTTTACTAGGCAAGCAGCAGTTTACACAAGCCGCAGATATTTATGGGTTCGGTATTATTATGACAGAAATGTCAAGTGGACAAAGACCTTTTGATGGTTATAAATTCGATACAAAACTTGCAATCAAGATTTGCAAAGGGTCGCGACCAGAGTTTACACCTGGAACTCCTAAATGCTATATTGAATTGGCCAAGAAATGCATGAATTCTGATCCACAAAAACGGCCTAGTGCTTGGGATATTTATTTGAAAATTCATAATTGGCTTAAGAAGATAACTAGTTCAGATGATAATGAAATTAAAAAGCAATTCTTAGAAGCAGATAAAGTTATTAAAACATTGTCGATATCAAAGCATCCAGATGAAATGTACACTAGCAAAATTATTAGTACAAAATTAATTTCAGAGGCGATTAAAGGTATTTATTTCAATTAATATATTATAATTTTATTGTTTAGTTAAAATAATATTATTTGTTTATTTAGATTTGTCTCATGTTGATTCAACTCAAATTAAGCTTAATATTGAAAGCTCCGGTAAGTATACAATTAATAAATCTATTTTACCTATTTTATTATTTGTAAATAGTAATATCTTAAAGATTAGAAAAATTAGGCTTAATGAAGTCGATCATTAGCCGAACTTAAATCGTTAAATGGATTGTTAATTATTTACAGCTGTTTCATTAATTTTGGGACATCTGTCTAATGATAAAGATAATGTATATCAATATCTTTGTGCTTCAAGTTGATATTTCAAATTAAATACGTAGCAATTATTTCAGACAAGTTAGCCATTTTAAAAATGTTTACTAGAAGTTCCTTAATCGTTAGATTAACCGTTTCAATATTTTCATCTAATTTGCTTTTGGTCTATATTTTTAAAAATTCATTATAAATTATATTATAGTATTACATAAATAAATGAAATCTTTTTATAGATTTTTACTATGATTTTGTTGATTATAATTTTTCAATACAGTTTCGACAAATATTAATAAAACTTTTTATAGCTTGAGTTACATTTTCTTTAGTTCATATCGAACTTTTATTTTTCCTCCTTGTGTAATATATTTATTATGAAAGCTTATTTTATATTCAGAACCCTTTTTGTTTTTTGTCAAGTCTGTTGCTTGACAAGACTGGACATACATTCAAGCGAAGCTTACTAATCAAACCCAAATCAAAATTTTATAAAAACTTATCGAATCGGCAAATAATCATTCGGTCAATTTTTTACCAAATGCCCCAAAAATAATGAAAACAGCTGTAAAATAACTAAAGTTAAATAAAAATAAAATACTGTAATTAATAAAACTTTTTTTTAAAAAAAAAACGCGAACAAAATATTTAATTTGTAAAACTTTAAGATAAAAAAACTATATGCAGAAAAATAAATTAAGTACATATTTGGACGTGCCTAACAATTAGCTATTGTATAACACAAAAACTTTGTCATAAAATTTTGGTTTGAATATTTGACTTTTTAAAACGATTCGTTAATTTAAAAAAATTCGGGATTAAATATGAAGACAAACAAAATTAGTAAATTTACGCTATAATGAAAAGAAAAGGTAACTAAGATTCGGTATATATAAAGTTATTTATAAAACAGTCAGCTGAATAAGAACCTACTGTAGTTTAATATTTTATTAACCGAATTGATTTTTGCAGGTTCAACAATGAACCATTTTGTTATTTTAAAAAATAAAATCGTCAGTTATCGTTAATTGCTCTTAAAAATCCAAGACTGATTATGTCATCTCTGAATTCCAAGCTCATATTCTGATTGCAAATGTTCATATCGATAATATTAACCTTTTATAATATCAATAATCAATAACAAACCTCTATAGCGAACTCTGCTTTATTTTATGTTAATTTGTAAAATTCCGTAAATTTTTAAGAAATATCTGATATAGTAATTTATGTATCGGTCCTTTTTTTTACATCTATACAACATATCGTTATATTCATTATACAGTGCAGTATAGGGTGTTAATAGAAATTTTTACATTGTATAAACGCAGAAAAATAATGCACGGTTGACAGAATTTGTATTAGCATTGAGAGGTTATCAGATTTGAAACATTATAACCTATTAGATTTATATAACGGAAACGGACTTGGTAGACTAATTTTTAGGTTATCGATTTTGAGAGGATCTATTTTGGAAGGCCAACAATATTTGGCTTTCTTTATTCGCTTTAAAAAGTTCTTATTTTACTTTAGCATTTCGAATATCAGTAATTGGTTCGTAGCTGCTATGATAACTATGTAGTGTTTTTTTACCTTTTTGTTAATTTTTAATTCATTATAATAATCTTTGATTAGAATGCACTTTACATTATCCTCGAATTTTTTTGAATTTTAGACAGAATATAACTAACTTTATTATAAAATCATGTGTAAATTTAATATAATAAATAATATAATAATGTATAATAAATAAAATATTTTTTTAATTTGTAAATTAAAAGTTATTGCTAATAAAGCCTTTTTCTAAAAAACAAATGCTATTTGACTTATAATTTTCAGGGCGGGTTGGAAGTAAAAGTTTTTAAAATTCATTTTATTTAATGGATAGGATTTCACCTTTTGTACTACCGTAGTCTAGTTAGAAGAATAGTTTAAAATCTAAAAAATTTATATTATAAAAATTTATTTAATTGATTTCTGTTGACTCACCCATATGGAAATGAATCCTATGACTAGAGAAATGGTTTAACAAACAGCTCCAAAAGCTCAGTGAGGTCGAAATTTTCCTTGATTATCTTTTATCCGTGCATTAAAAATGAAGCCAATCAATCATAATGTCATGTTCGACATTAGTAAAGTTCAAATTAGCTGATTCGATTAAGTTGATTGGCGAAAATATTGATTAACCAGAAAAAGAGCATCGACTTAAGAATTCCAAAATTAATAACTATATTATTATCAGAATTGACCCGTCTAAAAAATCTTCACTCGGTGGAAACGGGAAATGGTATTATGAAGAACAAATTTAATTGATTATAGTTAATCAACTAGTCAACACATTCATACTGGACGTTACTTGATTGTCAAAACTCGATTTTTAAAATTAAGGGGAGACTGGCAGGTTTTTTTTTTTAAAAAAAATAGGCCGGCTAAGCCGAAAATTTGTCTTAACCAATTTTTTAATAATCGCCAAATAAAAGCACTAAGCACGGATTTGCAGTAGATGATAAAAACTTGCGATTACTTTTTTTTTATTATAAGAATCTTTAACGAAATAATACTACGTATTCTAAATACATTAGTTCCTATTAAGCATATCAATAAAAAAATAGAACCTTTAACAACAATAATATAAATATTCTAAATATATAAGTTCCTATTAAACATATCAATAAAAAAAAAACGAGTTGACAGGTGGTTATGAAGAGACGCTAGATGTTTGAATGTTATTAAAGCTCGATCCGAATAATGTTACAGCATTAAATGATCGGATAGTAGCTTATTACTATACTGTATAGGCAAATACGAAGAATCACTTGCTGATTTAAATAAATCATTGGAAATTCAACAAAATAATGCGGAAGCATTAAGTAACAGAGAGTCTACTTATATTAAGAATCTCTTATAGATTTAAATAATTCTTTAGAAATCGTGCCAGATAATACAATTACACTTAATGCTAGAAGTTTAGCCTATAAAATGATGAGTAAATATGATAAAGCATTTGTAAATTTAAATAAATCATTAAATATTAATTTAAATGATGTTATGAAATTAGGTATCTGTGGATTTATTTTCAAAACAGGATAAATATATAGAATCACTTGCAGACTTAAATAAGCCAAAGGAAATCAATCCAAATGATCCATATGTGTTATTTAATCGAGGGGCAACTTATTTAAAGTGGAAGATTCGCTTGATGATTTAAATAAATCTTTAGCAATTAATCCATATAATGCCAGTACATTAAATAACCGTGGATTAACTTACCAAATTATGGGCAGTGATATAAATAATGCATTAGAAATCAGTCCGAATAATGCTATAATATGGAATAATCGTGAAACTATATATGTATATGGGCAAATACGTAGAGTCACTTGTAGATTTAAAAAAATCATTAGAAATCAATCCAAAATTTGCAGGTGCATTAAATTATCGCGTAATTATTTATAAAAATATGAGCAGTTACGAAAAATTACTTGCAGATCTGAATAAATCATTAGAAATAAGCAGGGTTGTTGGTTTACCGTAATTTTTAAAATTTTTTGGTAAATTACCGGTAAATTTACCATTAATTATTCTTAAGAAGGTTTATGTAATATAAAATCATGTGATTTGGTGACTAAAATTTTTTTTTTTGGCCAATCAAATTATATAGTCAAACTCAACCTTAAGTATATAAAAGTAAATTTACCACACCTTTGGTAAATTACCTGGTAAATTACTATAATTTTACTATGGTCAATTTACCACCTGCAACTCTGGAAATCAGACCAAATAATGCTACAATCTTAAACAATCGCAGACTCATATATCAAGAGATGGGTAGATATCAACAATCAATAGCTGATTTGATTAAATTGAATATTTGTGGATAAGTTTATTTTATTATAAGCAATTATGAAAAATCACTTGAGGATTTCAATAATTATTAGAAATCAGGCCAAATGATGCAGCAATACTATGCAATCGTGAATTAAATAATATAGGTATGGATGAATATGAATAAGCACTTATTGATGTAAATAAATCATAAGAATTTGAGCGAAAGAATTTTAAAGTGAATAATATTATAATATGAATTCATAAATCTATTAATAAATACAATGAACAGTTAATGCATATAAAAGAATTAAAATTGGCAATTGAAGAAATTGATTTGAGTGATAACGAAATTTTTAGAAGTTATACCTATATATCAATGGGCACTTATGAGAAAGCATTTGCAAGTTCTAATGATTCATTAGTATTTGGCTTTCATTAGGATAATAAATTCACCAAATTAATAGATTATTATAAAGAGTCACTTACAATATTAAATAAATCGGTGTAAATCTGACAAAATAATGCAAATTCATTAAATGCTCGCAGAATAGCATATCAATTAATGAATAGATATGAGAAATTGCTTGCTGATATGAATAAATTGTTAGAGATATTGGTCGATCGTGGATTAATTTTTAAAAAAATTGGGCCTATGAAGAATTATTTAAAGATCATCATATCGGCTAATTTTGACAAATCGTTTAACCGAAATAACTCCTGAACTCTAGCTATTAAAAATTCAAAAATACAGTCATACCTGATTTATATCACCCCTTTTTTCCAGAGCATTTTTGGTAATATAACTAAGGTGGGGATATAACTCAATATATAAACTATATAAAAAAGGGAAATTTATTCTTCTAAAAAATGGGGATATAACTTAGGTTGGGATATAACCCAATGGGGATATAACTCAGGTATGACTGTATTTGATACTGAATAACAATTGACCCACTGATTGGTTTGGGGCAATTTTACTACCAAAATGACTGTCTCGATAAGATGATTCTAATGAACCCAAAACCCAATCATAGGATTTCAAAATCGTTAAAGCTTTGTTTACTTTTGGTAAAGTAGGATGGGTTAAACCTATTCTATTTTATCTGATGTAAACAAAGCTTAAGTATCTCAGGACCCTGTGGTTGAATTTTGACAATTTTGGGTTCAGTAGAATTGTCTTATCAAGACGGTCATTTTGGCTATAAAATTGTCCCAAACAGATCAGTGAGTCAATTATTATTCAGCATTAAAGATTTTGAATTTTTAATAATAATTGTTAAAATCAGCTGATATGTTAGAAATTATACCAAATAATTGGAATGCATTTTTTAATCAATTGTTAATCTATAAAATGATGTGTAGTTATGATGAATTATTTACAGACATGAATACACTGTTAAGATTAAACGCTGCAAGGATTCAGTTGATTTGGATTAATTTTTGCAGTATAACTAATATAAAAATAAACAAATTTAACAAATTTCTTAAATGTTATAATAAATTATTTATACAAAAAAAACTCTTTCTGACGATCACTGTATCTAAATTTGAAGCTAAAGAAACTCTGTAAAAAAGTTACTATAGTACTAAATCAACAACTAAAGTAGCTTTAAGAAAAAAGATAGAGCAAGGAAAATTAATTATAGTTACTTAAAACAGTTCTGCTCTTTAACAACTAGGGCTCATAATATTTAAAAAATTAAAATTTTTAGAAAAATTTTAAAAAAAATTTTTTTTGGAATTTTGGGGAATTTGTGTTTACTCTGTTCTGCAGATCGATCAATACAGAAAAAAAATATACAAATTAGGAAAACAACAAATAAAACTAATACTGCTAGAAAATTAAGCAACAAAATAAACATTCTTGTTAATAAACAAAACAAACAACTATACATTTACCATCACGTGTTTACCTATAACAAAGTAAACATTTATTCTAAAACTTCAGGAAGAAAATAATAAAACATACTTTCAACACAAGTATAACATATAAATTAGTGATCATATGAATTTAATACTAATTAAAGATATTGTCTCGGCAACAGAAAATAAGCGTCAAGAAGTTTATACAGAGCAAAGTAAATTTACATTAAATATAGATCAACACGTAGCAAAGTATCTTTGGTATCAAAACCCAGAATTTATAACAATAATTCGTAGTGCATTAGAAATATATAAATGGGCTTTATATAAATTTGACCGAGATAAAAAACTATCGCTCGAAGAACAGGTGCTAATTGGCAAAGTAGTTGAGATTTCAACTAGTATAAAGAAAGAATAACTCAAGCTGAGTGAGCAAAAAAAATTTAGAAATGTTATGTACTTCAACAAAAATGGAGCTTGATATGCAAGAGAAAGAAACAAGTATCTGAGAAGAAAATTTAAAAAGAAAACGTGAATGTGCAGATGATGAGGAAGATCCAATTTGTAAAAAAAAAAAGAAGCAGTATTAACAAGACTAGCAAAAATGAACCTTAATGAAAGTGAAATTGAAATACTGAAGAATGATAATACTGAAAGTGCAGAAATGAAAGTGATATTAGTATATACTGAGTTTGGACAAGAAGATCATGCAATACAAGAAGTTAAAGAATGAATAGATATGGTTAAGAAAAGAGAAAAACTAAATAAGAAAGAGAACGAAGTAGAAAATAGTCTCACATTAAATAGAAGTGAAGATATTTACAAGTTCATATAGGCACCTAGTAATAATGCAAAGCAGGAGAATTTATTGAGAGAAAAATTAGTAAATTCTAAAAAAGAAGTGAATAGCAATCCACTATAAAGTAGAAAAAACAGCAAGAGTAACAAGTGACAGATTCAATATAAAAGTATTGGGGTTTAGAAATGAATTCAAACTCATATTAAGAGGAGTATCACTACTTCGTCAACTTAATAACCTTAAAACAAAAATGGTATATATACTAGACAATAGACATGACAATTAGAGAGAAGCAGTTTTCATATATTTCACATCATTGCCAGATTTGCAAAAAGTAAAATCAACAACTCCATATTACTATAACACTAAATTGAAATGTGATAAAATCTCTAGATTTGGAAGGAATAGTTTCTATAAAAATAAAAAAGATCAAGAAAGAAAAGAAGATACAAAGAGAAGTATAGATGACAGTAAATACTACACAAAAAAGTTTCAAGAAAGTAGAAACCAGAGGCCCAAAAAAAGTATAAACTCCTATAGAGATCTCGCAGATAGGAAAAGAAATAACTCGCATACCAGAATTAATACTAGAAAGCCCTCTCTAATGTAAATCACATTAAGTCATTACAGATATCAGAACATGCATTGGGTTCAAACAGTTTGCCAATTGGTGATAGAAAAGAAAAAAAACCTACAATACAAGAAGAAGTTAGTTTAGATGAAATTCTTGCAGATTTGAAACAAAAATTTAAAATAATAGAACAGATAATTGCGATACGCTTCTGAGAAATGCCACAGGCAAGGCAATAAATATGAGTAAGACAGAAATCCTTACTTCTGTTATGAGAAAGCCCAAAATACAAGAACAATATAAGGACCCAACAAATAATAACAACTTTTAGTAGCTTAGATTAGGTTTTCATAATATCAATGATATAAGGACAAATGAGCAGAAATTAAGGAGTCTGGCAATTTTATGGAAGGAAAAGAGCTTAGACATTATTGGGATTGCAGAAACTAACATAAATGAGACAGAAGATAAATAGATAGATGTAGAACATGAGGGATATTAAGGTTTTTGGTTGGCAAAAGAAATAAACAAGGCAAAGAATTTGGGAGTAGAAGCACTATCAATAAAAAATGTCTAAAACATTTAGCTATAGTTAGAAAATTCAATCTGTATGCATTAAAGTTAGAGTTCTTCTTTAAAAAGGCAATTGTTCAGATATGGGTAATTTATTTGCCATTAGCAGATAAAAAAATTAACAAAGAAGTGCAATATATAGTAATACAAAAAATATGTAAGAACAAGATCGACACATATACGTGCATACTCAGAGATTTTAATGCAATAAGTAATACAAGATTAGATACTAGTAATACAAGCTACAAAAACTAGAGTTTAGAGAAAACTTTTCTAGAATAGCTTAGAAATAGAGAAATAATAGATTCTTTTAGATATTTGAATCTACACAAAAAGGAATATATATGGTAAAAAGATTCGAGGAATGACTATATATAGATTGGAAAAGAGTTGAGTGTTTTTCTTAATGAAGCTTTAATTAAAGACATTAATTTAATAACAGGCAGTGATCACAAAATGGTGTATACAAAATTAAATTTGAGTAAAATACTTGGTTATAGAAAACTTAGCAGAAGAAAGCAAGAAAAACCAATCAAAAAAGTTTTTCTATATCACAAAGCAGCATCAGAAGATTGGGACGATTATAGATAGTGTGTAGAGCATTCTCTTTGCACAAAAGAACAAGCTAGAATTGCAAAAACCCACATACTACAAACATAGACATTAATAATGAATGAGACAAAATTAGTAGTGCAATAATGAGTGCAGCATTAAAACATATACCTTGGATTAATATCAAAAAAACTAAAGCTTAAAAAAGAAAATTGGTTCTGAAGTCAGAAATATATAGAGAAATTAAATTCTTATATCAGCTACAAAAGAGGAGCAAGAAAAGCCTAAGGAAAAAATCAACCTTAATAAAAGAAAAAGTCTAAACAAGAGAATTAATAAAAAAACCAACTACATCAGACACAGTTTGCATATTTGCCAGAGTGGTGGAATCAAATCCAACTATTTAAACTAAAAAACTGGGGTAAAATCCTAAGAAAGAAAGCAGGTGAAGAAGAAAGTAAAAAGAAAGAAAGAGAAATTCGTGAAAAAATAGAGCTAAGATTTGGTATGATAGAAAAAAATAAAAAGAGAATACTCCAAAGCCTGCTAAATAGACTATATAATAAAGTTACAATTGATAGAGTACTGGTAGAAGAAACTTCTAAAGTCTATAATCTAGAATTGGTTAATAATAAAGAAGGTGTAAAACGACAAGTAATCTCCCATTTCAAGGAACAATTCAGAAAAAGAAACCAAAAGTTTAAAGAGATAAAAGTGGAGTAGAAAGAAGAATACAAGCCAAAAAAAGAAATCGACCCTAGAGTATATATAGAGATTTCAGATTTTTTCATACTAGAAGAATAGATACAAGTGTTAAGTAAAACTAGAAATGATACAGCACCTAGCTTTCGAATATCGGCTATATTCTTTTTAAGAAATTATCATCCAAAGTAATAGAGAGAATATTAAAGTTAATAAATGCAATCCTCGAACAAAGCAAAATTCCAAATAAGTGGAAACTCAGGCAAATATATCTTATTCCAAAAAATAGCTCTTGGAGGTACAATTTGAGCAACACGAGACCTATAGTATTATTAGAAACATATAAAAAAGTTCTAACATG